ATTTCACTGTATACATGTTATACTTCGATAATAAAGGGTTTATTATTATTATTAGACTCTATAGGAACAGAGTCTTTCAGAGTCTCCCACGTGAACCAGGGAGAAGCTTGCCCAAGATGCTTTCTCAAGTTATTTTCTTGGCTCAGGCCACTTTTATCTGGACTGCTGTCTTGGCAGCAGCCCTCCCTCCTGTCCTTTATGGCCATTCCCCCGGTCTTCTAGAATTTCTGTCTTATTTTCTACTATTATTATTACTACACTATTCTGCTTCAGTTAAGTTCTGATTACCTCCATTCTTTCTTATCCACCTATCTGTAGAGCCTAAGTATCCCTTACACTATTTCCCTTCCTTTAGACTTCCTTTCTGGGCATCCTATTCTAGTTTGTCAGTTCTCTCTTAGTGCTACCGATATCAGTCCCATCAACCAGCTCTTCATGGATGAGGTCTCTGCCGTCAGCTGGTTTGGTTGGGGCACCGCTTTTAGTGTTTCCTATTATTAGACTGGGGCTGTGTTTTCTAGGCCTTGTGAGGCCTCAATTTCAGCCTGCTTTAAGCCACTACTTGGATCTTTGTGTCTCTCAGTTTTTTCCTTTCCTGCCAGGTCTCTTTCACTGCCAGGAATCCACCTCGACTCCTTTCTGGCTGCCTCTGACATCTTTCCTTGCAAGTTGCCCTTTCCTTGATGTTTGTTTGCTCTGGGATGAAACCTAGCAGGAAAGGAAGGAAGCCCTGCTTTTGGCTCTGTTGTCACACTTGGCTCTCCATCCATCCTTCAGGGCTGTCTTCTTCCAGGACTGAGGTCTGGCTACTTGCTCATATCCCTTTCCCAATAGCAATACTAGTATAAAATCCTGACCTTCTCCACTGGGCCAGGATGTTCACCTGAATCTCAAGCCCCCTGGTTGTCCATGTTTGGAGCCACCAGCATAACAGATCTTCCTGATAATTTGGATCATACTCTTTCCTAATGACTACTTCCTCCATCTTCAGGTGCCTAGTTTCCTTGCTTGCTCCCTCCTTCCCTCTCTGTTAAGATAAAACAAAATATCCAATGATGCTAAGTGAACCTATACACGAGAAAATGAAAAAATACCTGAGAAGCTTCTTGTTCTTCATCACTGGACTCCTCAGTTGAACTCTGTGACTCTTTTTTTGCCTCTTGTTTCTGCTGGGTGGCTGCAAAAAGCAAACAGTGACCTCAGAGTCCTTGAAAAACTGAAAAGCTGCTATGACATAGAGTGTGGGAATTGGGAAGATCAAGTCAAATTAAGGTTTATGTTCATTGTCCAGTTATCTAGTGCAACTCTAACATTTTTAGCTTTGCTCATTATAAAGGTTTCTTGAAAGTTCATGAGATGGGAATTGGTACCTTTACATCTTATGCAATGAAAGAGGTCTTTGCAGCAGTTCTGAAACTACCACAGGCAATTCTCCTGTTCAGATTCTCCCAAATCAATAGTTACTTCCAGAGTTCCTATTTCAACCACACTGCCATGTCTTTCAAGAGAACAATTACAGTAACAAATATCAACAATGGAGAATTGAAATGTTAGTCTGAACCAGACTTGTTGATGCTGGTGATTTAAATGTTCAGATACTTGAATTGTTGTGGGACTCTTGTCTAAGGAATCGGTGGGCTTCTGGGTGAGGAATGGCGAGCTAAGACATCTGTGAATGAATGGAGATGAGATGACAACTGCAGCTAAGTAAGACCCAAGGGTCGGTGAGTAGACCTGACTCCTGGAACCTCTCTGGTTAAAAGGGAAGATAGAAGATGACTGCTCTTCATAAGAAAACCAAAAGACAGTGATTTCCCCTAAGACTGAGTGCTGAGAGACAAAGGGAACCATCATGCTCTCAACTGTAGAACCTTTTAAAGGACACTACCAAGGTTAAAATAGGACATAAATCTGGGATCCCTTTATGGACTTCTTGCTGACACTATGACTGAAATATTAATGGTTTATGTATTTGTGTATGCCTAAGGGATGGGTTATGTGAAGAAGAGATACTTGCATATGATATTATAGGGCAGTGATGGCGAACCTTTTAGAGACCGAGTGCCCAAACTGCAACCCAAAACCCAAGTATGCATCGTTGGGTGCCGGGTGGGTGTGGCCCATTGGGTGGGTGGCTGCGGTGGTAACGGCAGACTGGGTGGGACTAAAAAGTTCAATCAATCAATTCCAACTTTGCAAGATCTTTTTTTTCCCGCGAGAAGTTGAAATTGACTGATTGATTGAACCTTTTTTTTTTTTTTGCACACGGCAGCGGAAGCCTAAAGCGAAAAGGTTTTATAAAACCCGGCTGAAGGCCTAGGACTGGGGCGACGGCGCGCGTGCCCACAGAGAGGGCTCTGGGCGATGGCGCGCATGCCCACAGAGAGGGCTCTGAGTGCCGCCTCTGGCACCCGTGCCATAGGTTCGCCATCACTGTTAAAGGGGATGATGAATTATTAAGTTTGTACTTGTGATGAAGATCAGAAGCTACCTTTTTATATTCATTTTCTTTTTTTCTGTACACCTTTTATTATTTTTTCTTTCTCTTCTTTCTGAGTTTAGTTTGCATTTTCTTTTACTATTGTTATTAAAAACTTTCTATATATAGATATAAAATGATAAACTGTTATGCCCAAACTGTTTACACTGAAAATATCCCAAGACTGGGGGAGGTTGAAGTGGAGGAACACTTCAAGGAAAGAAAGAAAAAAATTCAGGAGCTCAGCAATTTTTTTTAAAGCTATAAAGCAAGCGCGGAGGTGTGATTTTCACATAAACATGCCTCAAGTGGGCAACGTTTTTTTATTTTAGGAGCAAGCTGCACTGTGTGGGTAATGCCATCTTATCTGCATAACAAGCTGTGCTTCCAATATCTACTCTTCACCGGGTTTCCAAACTTCCAAGTGTTTCTGAAGAGATCCTCCTGCCACCCCACCCCACCCCTGATGGAATCTGGCCTCTCTTACCAGGCAGTGCCGGAGGCTTGGCTGTTGTCAAAGCTTCTGCTTCTTCCTCACTGCTGTCCGAGGAGCTGTCTGAGGAACTCTCCTTACGTACGGTGATTCCAGGGGACTTAACAGCCGGAGCCTGTCCCTGGCTCAGTTTAGCCTTTTGGGAGGGAATTTGTTCTTCCTTCCCTGTTGCTTTTGTGGCAGAACTCTGGGATTTGTTGGAAGCAGCACCGGATGTATTTAAGTTGGTCTGTACGCCCTTTCCTGAGGGAGTGGCCACTTTAGCAGTCATCTGCTTAAAAAAGGGGTGAATAGGAGGCTGTAGAGGGGGGAAAAAACACACCACATACCCGGAAATGCATTTTTAAATATGTATTTTCTGAGAAATAACAGACATTTGCCATCTATTATAGACTATGGCACCAGGGGTAGGCAACCTTGGCTCTTTTATGACTCGTGGACTTCAACTCCCAGAATTCCTGAGCCAGCCATGCTGGCTCAGGAATTCTGGGAGTTGAAGTCCACAAGTCATAAAAGAGCCAAGGTTGCCTACCCCTGGACTATGCAAACCTGCTCAAGATGCCTCAGTTCCTATTGCTGACTGTTTCACAGAAGTTCAATACATACACAAAATATCCTTGAGGATAAAACTGCTTTTTCTTGAATGCAATTAGCCATTACACGAAGAATTTCTACATCGTCTGCACTGCAGGAAAAAACAACGAACCACCAGATTGCCAGCTCCACCAACGTCAGATGTTGATACCACCCTGGTTCTAATAAGAGAACCTGCAAGATTAGCCTGATCTGCGTGGCTTTACTTATAGTTATCTTATCTACCTTGAGGGAAAAAAAACCCTTCTTGTAGAAAGGCTTCTAGTATGCGGAATGACCTCCTGCTTTTACCTGCTTTGCTGGCTTCTCAGCTTCTTTGCCATCGGAAGAATCAGAGCTGCTGCTATCTGAGCTCTTGGAGATTTTGGGAACAGGGGCAGTTCCTGCTTTTGTTGAGGTTGCCCCCGCTTTCCCCGCTGGCTGAGGTTTGCTTGATGTGAGCCCTGCATTCTTGGCTGTCACGCTTTTCACAGGACTGGCAGCGGGCTTACCTGCTGGTTTCTATGGAAATAAAACATTGCAGAATTAAAGACTGCGGTGAGGACAGAGCGATTCCTGACTCAAAGGAATTAAATTGGTAATTCAGTTGCCCGAACATGGAGAATAGCCACCTTAGAATTGGCAACAAAGATACTGAAGCTATTCCACCTTGTAGGATCAACCAATAAAGGAGCCGTCAAGAAATACCGCCATTAGACTAGCACTTGGTAGAGCAGCCATGAAAATCTTGGAAAAAGATATCAAAACGTTGTGCGTAGCTATCTCTACAAAGATTAGAATCACGCAAACCTTAGCATTCCCTGTGATACTCTAGGGAAGCAAAAGTTGGATTTTGAAAAATAAGAATTTTTCCAGAATAGGAAGAATACCGGTGCTTTTGGAGTTTGGTGTTAGAGAAGACTTCCAAGAAAACTGCAGGTAGCCAAGAAAACAAACAAATGGATCAGTGAACAAAATCAACTCAGAGTTCTCACTTGAGCATAAGTGACCAGGCTCAAATTATCTTACTTTGGGTATATTATGTGAAGACCTAGCTCTTAGGAACAGGATCTAATGCTGGGCAAGATGTAAGGAAAGTGAAGGTGACCTGCAGCAATGTGGATGGACTCAGTTACAGTGGCAATGGGCACATTGTTCGAAGACCTGAAACAAGTTAGGGACAGATTGTCATGGGGAAAATCTATGTGGCTGCTAAGAGTTGATACTGACTTGATAACATATCTGTCAACGCTGCAAATACTGTATATTCTTGCTTTGACAATGTGCAGAACTGTCTGGTATATATATAGTTAAACCAGCAACTGGGAAAGAGGGAGGAGCATAGGGATAGCCCGGGAGAAAGAAACGGGAAGTAAATCACATCTTCCAAGTTGATTGGAAGATGTGAATCATGACCTTACAATAAGGGAGTGGAAAAGGTTTGGAATATTAGGCATAACGGAAGAGAAGCAGATCTAAGCATTCCACCATGCTGTGCTGACATATCTGTAACATTAATAAATGCTTTTAGGGGAAAACATGCCTGAAAGTCCTTTTAAGTGTTTCGTTACTCAGACACATGACAATATCATCAATCAGTTGCCTGACCGCCATCACTAGTTGCTTCAATTGTTTTCTAGAGGCTTGGTAAGTGTAGGAATTAGGTTGTGGCAGCATTCAATACCTTAGGCTGCTTGTTACAGCTCCTATCTCAATGATGGCGAACCTTTTAGAGACCGAGTGCCCAAACTGCAACCCATCGTCGAGTGCCGGGTGGGTGTGGCCCATTGGCTGGGTGTGGCCAATTGGGTGGTCGTGGCTGAAGTGGTAACGGCAAACTGGGTGGGACTAAAAAGTTCAATCAATCAATTCCAACTTTGCAAGATCTTTTTTTTCCCCACGAGAAGTTGAAATTGACTGATTGAACCTTTTTTTTTTTTTTGGTACATGGCGGCGGAGGCCTAAAGCGAAAAGGTTTTATAAAACCCAGCTGAAGGCCTAGGACTGGGGCGACGGCACACGTGCCCACAGAGAGGGCTCTGAGTGCCGCCTCTGGCACCCGTGCCATAGGTTCGCCACCACTGTCCTATCTGGTGGTAGCTTTGCAGAAGCAGAAAATGGCCTAAAACATGGATGGGCAGGAATGTGAGTAGGTATTCCCTCACTTGTCCCCGTGTCAATACACTTAAGGCATCTTATAAAAGCTGTAATCTGTTTCTACATTAGCTTCCAAGATGGTGTTCAATCTGCAAATGTCAACTTTCATTTTCTTTTCTGAAAACAAAACAAAACCAAACCCAGTGTGCCTACACATTTATAGTTGCTTGGTTTCCAAGATGCCAACAGATTTCGTTTATATGTTTCCGGCAACCTTCATTGGAGGAGGCCCCACAACCACTAAGTAGCTCGCTAACTTGTTTCCGCCAATCTTCCTTTTATTAAAAGGAAAGGTGTGTGGAGAAAAACTAACTTTGCTACTTCATCTGCCTTGCTCTGCTCTATACTTTCCAAGCATCTCCCTAATTCACCTGAAAGAATAGCAAAAAGGTGTGGGGGCGTGGTGTGTGGTTGAGTTATAAATATTTAGGATGCTGATTAGGACTTAGTGTCAGCAATCTCGGGGCTATTTTTAAAACGTGCCAAAAAAAAAAAAAGATATGTTCCCTTTAGCACAAACAAGATTGGTGTTAAGAGAGGGGCTTTCTGAATTTTGCGCCTTTTGATGCTTGCTGTCAGGTGGAGAGATACCGGGAGAAAGGGGGTAGGAATGGTGATTTCAGCTCAAAATATGAGAACCCTTTGTGAGGGAAGAGTCTTTGTTTTGTCCTGAGGGCAAGGTTATTCGAACGGCCTTGTGGTGATTTTATTGTCTTCCTGGAGCTGTGAAATGTAATCCAATCTACTATACAGAGTGTTAAAAGGCATTCATCTAGGGCAGCGGTAAGCAACGTTGGTTCTTTTATGACTCGTGGACTTCAACTCCCAGAATTCCTGAGCCAGCCATGCTGGCTCAGGAATTCTGGGAGTTGAAGTCCACGAGTCATAAAAGAGCCAAGGCTGCCTACCCCTGACCTAGGGGAAAGGCAAGCATTCAATTGGTAATGTGACTGTGTTTGTCAACAGATACAGGTCGTGTGCTATCAACAGAGCTATACAATGAGTCTCTTTGGTCTTTTAGCTACAGTCTACTATTCTTAAGGGTAGTACATTTTTATTTTATTTACTTCTTTTTCTGTTTGGCTTTGGGCTGCTATATTGGAACTGTACTGAGAACAAATTATAGTACTCTAGAAAAAAAGCTGGCTGGCATTTTCTTTTTTCTTTTAAAAAATCAGATTCTAGCCTCTTAAGGTGATGAAAATAAGTGGATTAAAATGAAGTACTGGGGGAAATTTCAGGATCCATCTGGTAGCAGCAGAGCTGAACTTTCAAACACTAACATTTAAAAAAAATAGTAGAATTTTTTCAATACAATAGAAATATAAAAATTAAAAAAGAGAAAAACACGAAATGAAAAAAGAAAACATAGAATTATGATTTCTACTGATTAATTGCCATCTTATTCTTTCCTTTTCTTCTCTGACCCTTTTTAATCCAATGCATAAATCATCAATTCAGTCTTTTCTTCTTTCAACAAAAAGAAGCTTCCAGTCTGAACACCAACATTTCCCAAGAGCTATAAAACAAGAGTGCTCTGTGGAATTTCTCTTGTTTCCATCGTCAAAAAAAGACAGGAGAAACTACGAATATTAAGCGAGTGTGCACAGATGGGCTTCCATCTACTGTATACATGGCGTTTTTGGTTTAGAGCATATCTAATTGTATACAAATGCTTCCAGCTGCCCATATCTTCTTTGCTGAGACTTTCCAAATCTCCAGCGATTCGGAATTACAAAAGTAAATTTAAGTAATGGAATAG